TAAATGATAATTTATCGATGTAAACCTGGACACTATTTCAGCCTTTAAATACAAACGTTTAAACTTTCAACATGGAATATATTTTTATACTAAATATACGTACATATATTCATGGTAAAAAGTTTCGATATTCGTAGTCAAAACACCAAAGCAATAAGAATATGTTCAAGATTATTATGTGCATGTCCTGGAATTGGTACCAGCTGCGCGTTGCTCTCGTTGTGCTTTCCAGCTTTTTATACAGCTTTCAGAGCCGTTAATCGTTAATCGGTCTTCGCAGGGGAGGGGAGGGGGGAACAACGCGATATACCGCCCTATCGAACGTTTCCACACGGAGAGAACGCATAACAACGATCGGCAATTATTCACCATGGGGCATGATAATGCCTCTGATTCGCGGAAGAGTCAACAACAGAGCGCACGAAGCGGCTAGGCATGTCCCTGCGCGACGGTTTCTCTTTGGACTTTGTCGCCCGCGAGGGGAGGAGGGCCGCGCGTTGCGTAAATAAGATATCGATGTGCGAACGCGGGACAACAATATTATTAGATAGACCGTCAGCGACGGGTATTAATTGGCCCGCTGCGAGATACAACGTCGTCGGGAGCGCGGATTAGTCGACGGATGTGCCGCGACGAACTGCGTCAACGAACTCACGTCCTGCGGATGTACGCGGTCCCGGATTCGAAGGACCCGCATTCGTTTCCTGACCGTTGACACGCGATAACATTCCCGGATGTTGAGAAAGATCCCAGGATTTTCAAGGGCGAAAGGAAAGACGAGAGAGAGAGAGAGAGAAAGAAATTCTTTGCGTCTTATACAAACGGAAAAAAATTTGATTGAATTTATTCAACAGCGAGCGAACCAAACGTGTTTTGGTTGAAGGAAACAGAACTTCTGGTTATAACAATTAAATTTGGGTCATAGAAATTCTGTTTCTTTCAATCAACATCGTCGCGTTTAGTTTCTTCATTCTGTCTGGATAAATTCAACGAAATATTTTTTTCGTGTACGTACTTTTAATCCTGCAACGCACAAGCGCGCTCGTTCGACACGTGTCAACGCGTGAAGAGTGTATCCAATTTATCGAAAAAAAGTTGCATACGTCGCGCTTTGAAATTATGACGGCGTACGTGGTGCGCCAACGCGACTACTCATGCTAATTCTTAAGATGCGATCGTTTGTGGGTCGAATATTTTAAGATGTTCCTCGGAAAGTCTTTGAAAAATCGTCTCGAAAAATATCAGAGTACGCAGATGAATCGCTCTAAATGAAAATCTGCACGCAGCCCTCGAGTGTATACAATGTCCTCACGACGAAGAGAACGGAGGAGAAATCTTCGTGTGCATATGGCATCGGTGACTTGACGCTACCTTCCTCGAGTGCTTTCCACGAAACTTGGCCGCCAGTCATCGAACTTCACGCTGCCGTCATCGCGTACTTTTTACCGTCGCCGACAAACAAGCAACGAATGCGACGCTGGACTCTCCCTCTGGATAAATTAGTGCGCGAAAATACGCTTTTGCGAAATGTTCTGGCATGTCAATGCGCAGAAATCCTTGTTCCCCTTCGGACGATCCCCCGCGTCGTCCTCCGTCGTCCCATCCCTCCCCCGCCGCCCTTTCTCTTTCTCTCGATCGACTCTCTCGACTTCGCGAAGGCCACTCGCAACTTTCAAATACGTGCGATGGTGTGAGAACAGTCGAATCATTGTTTGCATGATCGCGCTCGACGTCATCGTCGATCCCCACCGCGGCGAGATGGTGATGATAATGCAGCCTCCGAAATTCGATCGCGGAATATTTTCGCGCGACGCGACGCCCCGAGAGCTGCTCGAAGGCGACGGAAACCACCCAGGATTACTCCACGAGGAAACCGCGGCTCTAAATCATCTGATTCTGACGAAAATGACGCGGCAGCGATATTCCGCGTTTCGCTATTTTTAGCGGGATCAGTGCAAAACAGCTCGCTGTATTATGGAAGAGCGCGGAGCGTAAATAATCGCGAAACATTTATCTCGGTGATGGATCAGTTAGCCGGTCGCGTGGTAAAATACGAGAACAACTCTTTCAATTAGCGTTATCAGTGGGGATCTGAGTACTCGACGCGGAGTCCACACGGAGATATTATTCGAGTATAATTATATAAACCGCGCGCGAGAGAGAGTCGGTTGTTTCGCGAAATCCCTTATCTCGGAGTAACTCGGATATCGGCGATTCAAGAACGACTGAGGCCTACTTCTGGAGAGCGGCGCGAACGATCGGCACGATAAAAATTATCACGCACGACACGGCAGCGTCGGTATTCTAGAAAATCTCGCCGATTGAAGGAGCCGAGTGAGCGTAGCAACAATGTAGCGAAAGTGGGAGAGACGGCGAGAATATATACGGCTAAAAATAGGTCAGGGGAAATTTCAGTCGTACATAACTCTCTTTCGGTATATCGCTCCGCACAAGCCGACGAGCTTCTGCGACACGCAATGAAAGATGCGGCGGAATCGGGGTCGTGACTACCTTTCCGAATGCGGAAGCCCGCATTTAGCACACCACACCCACCAGTCTCCGCGCGCGCCAGAAAATCGCTCGCGACTAAATCGGCCGGAATTCTCGCACGCGCGATTGTTCGCGCGACTCGTGGGAAATCGAAGACGGAAATACGTACGGCGCGTCATAATTCGTCACGACGGAAGTCTCTTTCCCTTTTTCTCTCTCTCTTTTCCCGTCTCTCCGAAATAGACGCCGCGAGTAGTTTTCTTTTCTCTCTCTCCCTCCTGACCCGATCGTGGAATTCTCAGCTGTCGCTATAGTTCTTCGCGGAGGAGGTCTAGTTACGCGGCTGATTTATCGACGATAATTGTACGGTAATTTAATTCAGATTTGCGCGAACGGAGGTCCCGACGAAACCGCTAGAATTGAAGCCGGGGCCGGAGTCCCATAATTCTTTCAACCCCTGAATTAGAACCGAGTGCGCGATTGTACACGCGGCCGCCGTGTGCGTGCGCTCATCATTATTCACTTATCAAGACTGTTTATTACGCCGAGAGCGACTACCACGCTTCACAAAGGAATAACCTACCGACGAGCTCTTTTAACCGCAACCGGACAACGAGCCGCTACGTATGGTGGTCGGCCACCGTAGAATACGCAAGGTGCACACGACGTGTCATAATGATACGCGGCGAAATTATCGTAACAATAACCACCCCGCCTTTGTTGGGTCGCCGAAAGAACACGAGGTTCGGCCAGCGCTAAATAAATGCTCGGCTAATTAATGGATGCGCGTACGATGGCTGCACGGCGCAAATAAAGGAGCGTCGTCCGCAAACCGAGTCGTTCGCAGTTGTCATAATAATCGAAATTACGCAGGTCACACGTCGATTCGGCGGCGTCGACAACTTCCGCTTTATCCTCTTGGCCGACGATTTCCAATTGCTAAGATATTGCCTAGGGAGGTTCGTATTCTAAACTCACTCTTATCCATAAGTTAAATGTAGCTTTTCGGTGAATCAGGTGGTTTCTAAACCACTTTTAGTGGCACTTTTATCGCAATAAAAGTAAGCCTAGGAATACGAACGACAACCGCCGCGAGGTCTCATCATTAAGGATAATATGACACGGAAAAAATTCGTCGTCGTGTAAAATAGAAATTTATATTCATTTAAATGAAACGCATTTATGATTACAAGGTGAAACGTCTCCCGCTTTCTCTCATACGCGCATATCAGTTTAATGACGGCGATCCGTCATCCATACTCGACACTCGCGGTACCAGGGCGATGTTTTTGTTGCGCTCGACTCCTGAAATTTCATGCACTCGCGGAACTATCGAATCGCGATTTATCAAACGCGATCGGGCGACACTTGCGCGACGTAATGCCCGGGGGTGCCGCCGATCTGATCGTCGCATTCCGCGATCGCCGATTACGGGATCTAGCGCTTACGTGACTAATTAGCCGGGGATTCGAGCGAAATCGGTCGCACCGCGCCATGGGCCGATAACGCGTTACGAAGTGCACTGATAAACGTTTTCTCGGACTCCCGGCCGCTTTATCGATCACATGTCGTAGCGAAGGAGGAACAAAACCGGTCGCGGCTAATTACCGGTCGCCGCCAGTGGAACGTGTTCCTTGCGTGACTGCGTTGATTCGCCCATTAATCGCGGGGAAAAAAAGGAGAAAAAAAATATGACAACGGTAGACGACGAATTTTTCGCGACACCGTCAAAATTCGTAAAGTGCGCCCCGATAATTTACGGGATTACGACGAATGATACACGAGTGATAAGAAATATCGATTCCACGCTCGTTGGTGTATTCGCTCCCCAATCGGCGCGATTTCGTTCGATTTTCATAACCTCCCATCGGAAATTTCAAATATGTGTTAGATGCTTGCAAAACAATTCGTAAGGTCACAAATAGATGGCTGTAACAGCGACATAGTAATTGTTTTTCTTTAAGTCGCTTCTTAGTTTTTCAATGTTGGCCATACCGAATTGATGGTTGACGAATAAAACGTTACGTTTAACGCGATTTTATGCAACGAATAATTACGGGTAATGAAAAATGGGTCTATTTTGACGATCTTAAATGACATCTATAACCATAAAATTCTCCCGTGGATTATCTGGTGAGACCAAAATATATGAATAATCATACAAACTTTTGCAAGCACTTGATACGATCTAGGAAAAATTACAATGTCATCGATACGGCGAGCTCGTATCAGAAACATCGTAGATGTAATCATAGTACAATACGATATACAATGGGCGCAACAATGGCAACATTCTAATCAGCGTCTCATGTTTGAATACCGGAAACACGAACGTCACACCGTGTCGATCACGCGCGATCGACGTGTCTGAGAAATGCGCGACGCGCGGTGGTAAGCGAGGTGAGAGAGGGGAGGAATCAATTGACAGCGTTTGGTGATAAACAAGTCGCTATTTGCAGCGAGCCGGCCGTATTTACAGCGGGCAGATTCTTACTTACAGCAACGTAGCAAACCGCGTAGGCAGCGTGAATCATTCGTCGGCAGCCGATCTTCGAACCTCGTTCAGCGTCTGAGCGCGCGATCGCAGCGACGACAACGGCGGCGGCTGCGGCGACGAAAACGAAGATGGCGGCGGCGGCGTCGGAATTGCAGAAATCACGCTTCTTAATTAATCTCCGAGCGAGCGAACTTCGTCCGGGCGATGGACCGATAAGGCGCACGTGAACGAGCACGGGGGCGGCAACGAAATAACGTCTACCGAGTGTGTTTGCTCGCACATAGCGAACGCTGCTTGCAGGGTAATGTCTTCATTTCGACCCTCGCGCGAGCGCGCGCTTTCTCCTCCGTCTGTCTTTTTCCTTCTCGCTTATGCGCGCGGATTAAAAATATATGCCGTGTATCTGCTGCGAAGACTGTAATTAAACGTCGGCGTGTTACATCACGGCGAAAATAATCGACGCACGCGCGATTGCGTCCTGGCGGATTCGGAGCATTCGACGGATAAACATTGCTTAATAAACAAAGAGCGCATTGTTACGTACGACGCGGCGAGACGCGCGACAAGAAAGAGAGAGAGAGAGAGAGCGAGAAAGAGAAACACGGGTGTCGCTCCGGTGCAATAAAAATATCGCGTTATTTACGCGTCGAGCGTGCGAGCGTTGAAAACAAGGCGTTCAAGAGCCGATTTGTAATGAGAGCGCGATTGAGGGACAAGTTGAGAGATTACTAGCAGAGAGGACGAAAGAGAGAGCATCGTTTCGTAAAACCGATCGATCATCCCGGAATGTAAAAGGATGGTATGTACAACTTGAGCAGCTTGAATTAACCTATCACATTCGGGAATTATCGAGAGCGCGAGACTATCGTGTTGAAACCTCGACTGTGATTGGCCAATTCGCTTACTGCTTAGGCTTTGCAGCTTAAGCGGCGGATGACATAAAAGTGGTGTCTACAATGAAAATTTAAGATGTAAGCTTTAAGCCTTAAGTCGTAAGAAATTGACCAATCACACTCGATTATTCTTCTCACATTCGACTATGGTGGGTCGATTTCTTACGGTTTAAGGCTTAAAGCTTAAAATTCTTTGATAAATTGTAGACATCGCTATAAAAAGAACGCAATAAGACTTAACCAGTAAGGAAATTGGCCAACCATCCGAGTCGAAAATTTCAGTTCTCCTTTTGATGCTACAAATAAAGTCCGTTTAAAGTTTTTAATATAGAACCAAATAGATTTAATGTAGAATTAAAATTTCACCTGGAGCAATCATTATATTTGTTTAGGTTTATATATTCCAAAAGACGATAAAAATGACAATAAATTTGGCAGAAGTAACTAAGATTTCAATTCACTGAAATCTTATTTACTTCTGCTAAATTTATCGTCACTTCTATCGTCTTTTAAAATACATAAACTTAAAGAAATATACTGATTGGTTGGTTAATTTCCTTATTGCTTGAATCTTATTACTTATGTTTTTCTACACTCCATGGCGCTTACTCGTACGCCCCGTGGTTCTTATCGCAATGGACGATGGGATTTACGCGCGAACGACATGTCCAATGCGCAGGCGCGCGTAATGGCCGCCATTTCGGAAGGATCCGCCGCGGCGAAAACGGACTACGAAAGAGAAGTTGCTGCGTTGGATCGCGTCTCAATCCTTGATTCGACCCTCCGCGACATCGCCTCAACGGCGACTATTTATCGCTGACCTGCCAGCGGAAATTTGGCAACGACTTACTAGGGCAATGATGCTGTACCCTCGATGCTTTACGCGCGCTCATCACGATCATCGCGTCGAGTAAGTACATCGAAGCGATTAGCACGTTAACCCTTTCACGAGGGAATAATAAAGTTACGCGCAATTTCGATTAACCAGCCAAGAGGGGAGGTTGCCTCGAAATATATTCCCGCTTTCACGTTGTCGATTACGCGAGCGATATCTATCAACGCGATAATTGAGGTTATTATTCGAAACAAACTTTCGGTTCTGCGTTACAATTCTTACAAATTACGTTGAACTTGAAAGACATACATTTCGAAATATGACACTCTACATGCATACCACCGTTTTTCTTTGAGATTATAAATAATTGCCGTTGACTACGTCCTGACTTCCTAATCCAGTATTCTGGCCGTTGGCTATTTCATTATTGTGCATATTCTGCATATATTTCGTGACAATGGCATACATATGTACGATTCAAAATCAGAGAAATATGTGTTAATTAATGTAATACCGATTAAGTATTTCGAGAGTTTCGGCACAATAATTGAATCATCCGACGAAAATCGTAACTAACTTATATACATATTCCACGTGAAAACACGTCACATATAATTTAATGTAATACTCAATGATGGAGAAGAACGCGAGAGAGAAGCAAAACAATCGGTAAGATAAACACAGTCACCAAGCGTCAGTCGTCATCGCTCGGCACTGAATGGGCCGTAAGGTCACAACATAACAATCAACGCTCTTCAAAACATTCTAGGTCTTTAAAACAGCTGAACGTATTTTCGTGCGTGACGAACTTTTCTGAACGTTTCTAGTGTGTTTTCAAACGACGAGCGACACGCACACTGCGCTGTACGTGTAAGTGCGTTATCATTTCCCGTCATGTGATTAAAATATTTCATTGGCTCTTGAAATGTTGAATCGTATTCGCGTCGGCATTGCATTATTTAACACGCGTATTTTCAATGCATAATATTCGTATCTACACGACTGTCAATGTAACGAATGAGTATCCGGTGCAGTTAGAAGTTGGAATGCTAGATCAGGAAACCAGGCCGAAGGATACCTGGATGCGGGCAGCATATATTTCCAGGTAAGATCGCTTCTTATAGACAAGGTCTCGGACTTGAAGTACATTACTAGATAGTAGTACTAAGTTACAGGTTAAGTAAGTTATATAATTAATATAATGCTTATTGTAAAATTAAGAATAAAAAGTAGAAAATAAAATTATGAAATGAAGAATGAAAATCAATAACGCGGATAAATGTTGAAATAATCAAGTATATATGAAATATATTTTCTAAAAAATATCTTTTCTAAAACAAATCTTTCTTTAAGACTCGAAATAGAAAAAAACGATAGTAAATAACTATTTATAACGTCAAGATAGGAGAGAGAGTAACTTGTATAACATTGTGTCTCGAAATTGGTCTTTCAAGTTTGACGCAGAACTTGGGGAGTTAATGTAAAACCAAAATTTCGGCTCGAGTACCGTTCGCTTGTAAACTAAGATTTAACTTGTGGAACTCGCGTCTGCCGCTTCCGTTAATAGCGGCGGAGTTGTGAAGGCCTCGACGCGACGGCGGAAAGATCGAACCGGCGTCTTCTCATCGACGGGCGCGACCCAATTTCCGCGGACGCGGGTTCACGGGCCTCTCGAGTCGCTTCAACGATGCGAGATACGAGGTCGGCGCGAAACCCGGCCGATTCTTTCTCGCAATTAAGCCCGATAATAATTCGGCGGACGCGAAAGGCGAGGATTCTCGATGGCAATCGTCGATAATGATCGGCGCGATTGGCCAAGATATCGCACAACAAGGATAAATTTGAGAGAGGCGCAAAATTTCGCATCAGCTCGATCTTTCTCTTCGATATGTTCATTCACCGACCATGATCTCGATATTTTCTTTCTTCGCCAACAGAATCGACCGTTCTCCTTCGCACGAAACAAAGTAAACATTTTCCGTCGAAAGAGATCCTCGATCGATCGTGGGTGGCCGCACATTCGTTACGGCGACTTCCGGTATATCGTGCCGGTAGCGGCCAGACAGAAACACCGGGGCAGGTCTACCAGCAGAAACTGGGGTGAGTGTGTATATGCATTTGCGGGCGCGTGTGCGCGCATATAGGTACGGCGCGATACCTACATAGAGAAGATGACCTGATTTGTATTCGCCAACGGGGCGCCGTTCGCTAACTCCGACGAAAACCCACATCTTCCGGAGTTCCGGCGCCTCGCTATTGGTCACGCTTTGAATGCAAAAGCGACTGAATTGTCTCGCATAGACAAAGGCACGTGTAATTTTCTGCAAGTTTCCGCCCGGCGACGCCAAGCTGGAAATATCGCGGACTTCGCGTCCCTGCCGCGAGGACAGACACGCGCGCGTAAAAATAAAGAACGCGAAGTATAGACGGTTGGTTGGTCAGGTAGATAGATTGGGGGCCGGTAGGTAGATAGATGAGGTTTCCTCCCTTACCTCGGCGAAATATTCCATGAGCTATCAGCGACACAAATAACACACGAGTTATTCAGTATCCCAAAGGTCTGAGGGCACGTACGTTTTCGAGAGTTAATTCCGTCTGAAGCGGTTCCAACCTTGAAAATATCAAGACGAGGTGCACGACAAGTGCACGAGAATTTTCGATCGCGACATCCGCGTTTCGGCATTGATCGATTGAATCAACCGGCGGTGAGCCTTCAAAGCATATTTTTCACCTTGCTCCGAACGGAATTCTCTCAAGCGCGTTAAAGTGCACTCCTCTTGTCTTCTTATTTCGCGAGACGGGAGACACGTTTTTCCGTGAGATAAACGCGCCGCTTCCGTCGTTACGTGGCTGATTTTCATGGTTGCGCAATAGGTTGGAAATTAATTTCATTCCGCTTATCGCTCGAAATGTCAACTTTGACACGTAACCAATGGTGATTTTTGCGTCGCGCAATTCGCTCATTACGCGCGCCCGACTCTTGCATTCCGATAACGTCGCATTTCGTGTTTGTCTGGCCGGACCAGGATGTCGAAACTGCGCGTTCTCGTTCGCGTCGTTTCCAACTCGCGGCCGTTGCATTCGACGCAGTAACAGCGCCCCTGACCAGACGGCCCGGGGAGAGAGAAAATATTTTTTTCGCCTTCATCCTTCCCGCGATGTTTTCTTTCCCGGTCGGGATCATGCGCGAGCGAGCAAGCGACATCGGACTCGTGGCTTATTCGAGCCCGTGCGTCATCGCGCCGCTCAGCAATAACAAACCGCCGAACGAACGGTGGACGATACTCGACGGCAAACAACGATTGAGCAACTACGACGTTACAAAGATCGATACCGCTGGTACGTGCCACCTGCGAATCGCGATTATCGAGCGTCTCTCCTCGCGATGTTTCGTGCGTTTCCATCGATCACCGTCGTCGGCGTCGATCTGCACAAACACATGCTCCTCCGGCATATTTCGCGGATGAGTTAAGGCACGAGTGACTTCGGCTCCAGATATTTCTCGCGAAGTGTAAAAATACGATATCGAAATTGGCCGGCGACGTCTCACGTGGATTTTAGACCCGTGGCTACGTCGAGAACGCATTTTCCGATTTGTCAGCTGTTGCTTGTTTTCGTCGCTCGGCTCGGCATTGCTTTTATTACAGCCGTTTCTGTCATCCGCTTCCTTATGTAGATAAATATTGTGTACGCATTGCGTTACGTGTGCCTTACCATTCCTCGGAACAAATGTTTACGATTTTTAGTCTTACGCGTGTACGTACAAGGTTGAAAATCGCACAAGTAAGTCTAATTATGATCTGCTTACTTATAATGATTTCGATTTTATGCATACACGTGTAAGACTAAAAATCGTGCGACTTTCGACTTAGAGAATGGGAAGACATATATAACCCAGTGTTTACGTTGTAACGATCAATTGACATTCTTATTCATACATCTCACGAGATACTAAATCAACAAACGCTGAGTAAGCCCATTAGATTCGATATGTCGGCGGATGTTACATCGCAATTTTACTAAATCTTCGTAAAACCATAGATATCACGCGCGCGTGCGAAAATGAGGATTGAGGATGAGATTTTTTTACTCCGATATTTATCCACGATAGAAAATATCGTCGTTTTCACTGCATATGTGTGTGTGATCCTTTTTTCTTAGTAATTTACTTTTAATTTCAATCACACTCTTTTTTCCCCTTCACAGCTATTACAAATAAAACTAATACTGCTAATAAGCTAATGATAATGAGAAATATTGGCCGAGTTAATATTTTCGAAAAAAAAAACTTATTACTCGCCTTCACGTTATCTTTCTAAAATAAATTTAACAAGATTACATACTCTGACAGGCAGTTCGCGGCTCTGACAGGTTCACTTATCGTATAAAACGTTAAACATGAAACGTTAGCCTTAGAAAGTGCGCTCTTTTTTTGTATCTCTTATCACAGAACACTGTATGGAAGATTTAAACCCATTAATCGTTTGATAACTAACGCATCTCACGACATAGATTTTTTTCAATTCGTCTCTGAACTTAATTAGAAACAAATTAGTGGATTTACTTAGATGATGTTAATAAGTTTTATTTATATGTATACCAACCTTTAATGTTTCTAGCATGTATTTTAGTTATAGTTCATATTCTTCTCGTTTTCTCTTTCTTATTTTCTTGATTCTGATATAAAAAAAATTGCTACAGTTTTTTGTTTGAATCATCTACGATTATTATAACTTCTTGTACGCTAAAAGATTTGTCCCGTTAATAAATGAATAAACACTGCAAAGTAGTGTATAATGTTGTCGTCGTCGTAATATAGTAAACAGTAAATAGTCAAAAGTTGCGTAGCGGCACGCGATTCGGCGCGTCAAGGTCGATCAGCTGACCTTCCCGCGCGACGTAGCGGCGCAAACAATAACACACGTACGCTTGCGTCTCTTTCGTATTACAATCTCCGACGCGGAGACGAACACATCGAAACAAGTCGCGTGGTATTAATTCGCAAATTTCTCAAGTCAATCGGCGTGGTCGTGAGATTGATCGTGATGTTACACGTGCGCATACATCATGCCGGGATCATCGTGAACCGTAGCAACGTAGTAACTAGCATATGTGTATGTAACACCGTAGCAACGAGTAAAATGTACGGATTAAAATCTAAAAGTAACAACCATATCCTGTCATTGCTAGGTTAGATTTTTAAGAGTATGGTCAGATGTTGCTGCGTGTTCGTAATCCGTCTAGACCGAGTGCAAGCACGTTCTATCATTGTAACTATAATCAGGAAAACTATTTTTCATTTCGGATCGGGCGGACCACACGACAGATGCAGTTCCGAGGGCGACAATTCTACGAGGGATGCTGTTCCTGAGACGGATGCGATACTGGAGGATCCGGTTCGAGCCGAGCAGGGTCGGCTCGAAGATACTTTTGCTTCTCTATTTAATTATACTTCACTATTTAACCTTTTGCGAGGTCGAAATCCGAGATATTACAGTCGGAATGACTCGAATTACGACCGCAAAGGGCTAATCCTATTCGTATCTCCACGCACACTCGCTCGTTAAGCCGTGAATTCGTAAATCTAACCTGGAAATAAATTTTTTTTTGTTCCAGATTTGGATAGCGGAATGTGGCCAGCTCTGAGTTCCGGACGGTTCGGTGATAAATACAGAAAAAATATATAAAAATTCAAAGCAGTAGGTTTTTGTAGTATCTCGTTGGAATCAGTTATTTTGCCTATAGATTTACGTTTACGTTTGTGTGTGTTAATTAAAACTTAATGAAAGTAATATTAAATAAAACTCCCTTCTCGAAACAATTAAAAATCACTTCTAAAATGTCTTTACTTCGCGATCTAGCTTCACCGTGAGAAATAATCACTAAACAAATTTTGATTTCGTCCTTCGTTCTTCTGTCTTTTCTACCCACTTTGTCTTCCATATTTTTATTAAGGAGATTCGAAAATACGGTTTCAAAGTAAACAGAAACGTTTTATTGGCGCCGTCGAGACATTCGTAAACACTGTTAGAATGCAAATACTGATCGCGTCGCGAGTACCTCCCAAAGAAATGATTACGCCACGGCGTAATAAAAAATGCGGTCAACGTGGAGAGCGATACAAGACGGCAGATGAAGGGAAGCTGGATAACGCTTCGGATGCGGAAGGATGCAGTTTCGTCGGCTCGCCTGGACGTCGAGGGACCTCAACGTGAATTGGTTAGTGTTGTACATCAACATTCACAGGGTGTCACGTAACATAGCGCATGTCTAACGCAACTGATTTCCAACGGAAAGAAGCAAGGATAATGCTTCCACGTGCTTGCATATGGCGAATCTGAACGCCTGAGATTACGTTATTGCGATATTGATATTCAACCTCGCGATCGCTTGCATCTCGGAATCTACATGGGAAAAAATACTGTGAATCAATAGAATTTCCAACCGCAATCGGAGTAAATCTTCTTGGATTCAATAGCGATATCATTGAAACTAATATCTTAATTATCGAAAACAACACATAACATGGTAGTTTTAATGATATTTGCCATTGAATTAAGAAGATTAATTTCAATTATGCTATTGTTGGGAATTCTATTCATTCAACAGAATTTCTTTTCGTATATATACTAACGGATATAACTTCAATATTTTTGGACTAAAATATACACGATTGTAATTAAATTTCGTAACGCTTCGTTGAAAGATCTCGCGTAAGTAATTTTGGAACATCCAGTATATATCTATACCCTTGCTCCTTATAGCTTTTTTCTTTCTATTATGCTGCTACACGCGAATGTCGTGCAAAGCAAAGCAGCAAGATGAATATTTCAAGTCGTAGTCGGGGCCTGCGCGCAAACAGGGACAGAAGTAGAAAAATACGCGAGAAATATTTTCATCCGGTCCGTCCTGGACATTATTGTAAATGGGCCCACTTTTCTAATTATCAGCCTCGCCATCGTCGGCAAGGACGCATAACAGGATGTATCTCTCTCCGCGAAACCCGCTGCGTATAATCCGATCGCACTCCGTCCCCGCCTCTCGCGCGCGTGTCCGTTTCCAGGTAAAATTTAAAGAGGTTGAACGCGCCGCGCGGAATTCGGACGGACGGCGAAAATATTTTGAATGCAGGCGCGCTGGTCAGGTGGCAGCTACGTCGCCATAAATCAAAAGAGAACAAATAGAGATTAACGTGTGTGTATCTGCTTCGGTAACGAAATTAAGTCGCGGTCGTGCGAACAAAGGAAAACGTGTTTCTCGAGTGAGACAAAAAATACCGACACAAGCAATTGTCTGCGAGCAACTGGGAAAAAACAAAGAGAGAACGCACGAGTATCGTTAATTAGTTGAATCTAATCTCGTCGTCGGAGGTAGTGTCTCCGCGTTTGCATCGATTATATAGTCGTGGAGAGAAAAATTGTTCCACTCCCTACGCATAGTGATGTCGGAAAATCCGGAATTGAAGTATCATTTCTGAATGTTCGTGCATCATGACCGCTGATAATTCTATGAACCGGCAAGGATATTCCAAAGCAGAAGTCATGATGCGCGAATAGTCAAAAATGATGTGTCCAATTCGAGATTTCTGATATCACCAGGGAATGGGACAACCTTTCCGCCCACGACTGTACTAGTTTTAAGAACGAGAGAAATATCTCTTGCGATTCGTACGCTCATCGGCGACATCTTAGAGGAGAAACTATCACGAGGCAAAAGTACAGTTTGCGCTTATCTTACTCTTGGTCGCAGTGTATTCTGAAATTAGATAGAATATTCCATTGCCGGGAAGAGAAAAATAATTTATATTTTTCCGACTTATTCGCGCATGAGACAGTCGGGCTTGCCCTTCCCGACGGCGATCGATTTATAACGCAAATCGGAATTATTCAGGCCGCTGCAAGGACGCGAAAAGAAACTAGTCGGTAACTTCATTACTAAAAAGTGAGGCGCATACAAGACGCGCCCGGCTTGACGCTGATACTTTATTTATACACCGTTACATTAGCTGCAGCCTTCCGATTACGTATTTACACGGCCGACTCCCTTTTCCCCCATCTGGCCGCTGTATTTTTAACATCCGGCTGCGCGAGCTTCCGCATAAATTCATAACGCTAATCGATGTTTAGAGGTCCATATTTTTGCGGGTTGTCCATTCATCGGGCCGCATTATTCGCGGAGAGGGGCGTTAAGACGCTCTTGAAATTTTTAAACCGATGTACGCGTATACGCGCATCTACGCGCACATCATAATCCGCGAACTTAAGCGGGATGAAGCGCGCGCTCTGAGGCGCACAAAGAGCGATCTTCGCCGGGCCGCGAATCGTACAGCCACGAAGATCAACAGCTCGCGAGCAAGCTTATTGTTATAGTGTATATATAATAAAATTATAGTTTTAAAGTTGGGGGAAAAACCCGTTTTCCTTCATTTTTCGCAGATTTTTTGGTTTCTTACCTTACGGAAAAAAAATGAATGTGACAAATTTTCACTGAACACACGTGACTTTTTTTAAGCGAATTTTTTTACTCCTGGAACAGAAACTGAAGAAATATGCAGAAAAGTTTGGAAAAACGATTTTTCTGAAACTTTAAAACTTCACTTTAGATATTGTCCTTCTTTCCTCTAGTCGCGTATATTCTTGGGCACTTTTAATTCGCGATGCACATATTGCGATTCGTTGAGGCCAATCAACATAAAACGCAGAGCGAGGGTCGCAGGTCACAAGATTAGACGCATCATGACGTATTTCCGGCCGTACAGGCCGTAAACTTCAATACGCAAGACGGAAGTTGGACGAACTTCAACTTTCGCGTCCTGCGTCGAAGCGACCAAGCAATCAAGACGTTATATTCTACGCGGAAAAAAAATTAATCTTAAATCAATAACAGATATTTTCATATATTATAAATAAGAATATTATAATCTTAGAATATTTTTAGTCTTGATTGGATTTGCATTGACGCAAATATTACTTGCACTCAATTCAAGACTGAAAACTTTCCAATAATGTTATAACACTCTTGCTTATATAAGAATATCTATCGTTGAATTAAAACTATTTCTTTCCTATATACATTCTTTCATTGATTCAGGCAGAGTGCTCGTTTCGTATCTACGTAGACGCGAGAATCTTGCGGTGAGCGTTCATTTCTTGCGATTTACGTTTTGCGTCTTATGTAAATCGGCCTTTAATTAGCTAGTCGCGTGTTATCATTCCGAGCGAGTCGAACGCTAACGAGCGATACGCGGCAGTCTTCCGCTTTCCGACCTCGGGGTTGAGATTTCGCGTTCTGTCGTCGCTTCCTTCGCGCGTCTCCTTTCTTTCGTTCGCTCCTCCATTCTCGTTCCTTCACCCCCATCTTGGCCCCGTCTCTCGCTTTAATAATATCGTGTTTGCAGTCGGCGGAATTACGCGCCTGGGAATATAAAAAAATGCCAAGCACCGCGGCAGACACTTTGCATACCGGCGAGAATTCGAACTCGTTTCCAACGTTATATTACGCCCATAAAGCACGGAGTGCATTATGTGCACGCACGACGAGAAATGCATGCAACTCGATGCCGGGCTAAAGAGGCCCGTAATGGTCGCTATAAACAATGACTTCGGTACGTCCACGGCCTACGTTGGTAACGACGATTTGGTTAAGGGAGCGCATTTCCGGCGTTCGCGCACGACGCAAAGTGTCCGAGATTGGAGCGACCAAGGGCTGTTATCGACCCGTCTGCCTCCGGATGTACGTTTGTTTTTCCCTGGTAATAATTTTGCCCCCCTCCTCCCCGTCGTCGCTGTTGCAATTTTCGAGAAACGCCTTTTGAATGTTTTGCCGAATGTTCGAGCGGCGCCGACCTTAATCTCGCCGCGATAGGCAAAATTGCACTTAATTCTCCGCCGAGATGTCGGGAGTAATCGACGGGGCCTCTTCGTAGGAAGTTTCTATAATGCCAACCTCTTAACAGCTGAGGTTATGTAGACATTAATATCAAGTATTAGATTGTGGCTACGTGCGCGATAAGCAGTCCTTTCTCCGGGTTTCCTCACGGGGGAAGCCTCGCCGGTGAATTTATCGCGCGCCACACGTCGTTAAAGTCAACGTGACGAAGTACAAAGATCCCCGAAGATTAATCGTATTAATTGCGAAATCGGTGAAATCCTCAGTCTGCTTCCTAATTACGGCGGGCTGTGCTCGTAGCACGCATAATCGCTCAGACGAAGTGAATCGATGCGACGGCGAGAATTAATAAGGATCTAATTAGCGTGCGTAGCATTCGGCGATATATACAACATCGACGGCTCTTGCGACACCGCAGCTGGAAATAGAGGAGGTGACGTAGCCGCGTCTAAATTTCATTCATTATCTCGCCAGGGTCGCGGCGTTCTCACGAAAACGTGTTTGTTTTACTTCTAATTTTCTGTAAATAACGATTTGCGTTTCGCAACGCGCCGCGATACACCCCGCCGCAGCTGGGCCTCCGGAAGAAAATATTTACGTTCTCGTAATCGCGATGTCGCCACGACGGGCGCGATAACGACGTCCGACGGGTGTGCGTCCATGCGAAGCAGGGCCACACAGCTTCGAAACGGAATCCGTCGTTGCTCGATAAAGCCGACTAATTTACGACGGCGACGCGACGACGATGGCGATCGCGGTGCCGTACACGCTCCAGTATCACCAACCGGGCGTTTCTCTTTCGTAATCTGTTACGAGAAACATTTAAACGGTGCAGCTGCCGCCCAGGAATCTCGGGTTTCTTCCATTTCCCGGATGAAATCAGAAGCGTATTAGACCGCACAGGCCCGTCT